GGTCGCTTGAATAGATAACACTTAAATCGCCTAACCCAGTAAAGTGATCGTGAGAACATGGCTAAAGAATATTTCAGGTAAATTTAGTAATAATTTAGCTAGTTATTGTTTTCCAAAAACGTTGAGATACTTTGGCAAGAGAAGCAAGTGAATTTAGACAATGAATATCCTATTAGATGCGCAAAATAAGTTTATAAATGAACAATATGTATTGAATAATAAATGTTTTACATAAGATCTTGAGTGCGAAGAGTGATTACTCTAAGATTAGATAGTGGTAAGTAGGATAGCCTGTCAATTCTCGTATATAACTTCAGAGCTCTGTCCCTTATGTATTTTTTGATCGGGTCTATTCTAAGGTCTCTTAGCATGTTGTTTGTGCGTATGTACCAAGGCACTTTGAAGAGCCTTCGGAAAGCCTGACTTTGAGCGACTTGTAGCTTTTGTATAGTAGAGTCGGCAGCTTTGCTATACGCGACACACCCATAAAGTGATGCTGGTCTAATTATCTGGCTATAGATCAGTTTTCTGTTTTTATTTTGAATTTCAGAGTTTTTATTTTAAATAACTACCATGCTATAATACTTTATATGCTATATAGCACTAGCGTCAGATATATCCTCATAACTGTAATGTCTCTAGAAATGAAACTGCAGCCTAACCACTAATAATGTGTGATTTATCAGCTTCAGTGTATGTTTTGTGGAACTATTTGAAGTTATCAGTCTATGTGGACAAGTCAACAAGGTTTTCATCAAATACAATGTTTCGAGACAAGATTTTAAATCTTAAAAGTTATGAAAAATTGGAACTCTTAAATACACGGCAAATTGAACGAAATTAAATATTAAAGATATTTGACTCATTTGCTCATGCTATATTGTGTTTTTTTATATTTTAGTGAAATATTTGGAGTTAACGCTGACATAACGACAACACTACTGAGATTATTGTCTATCGTGCTATACCCTCAGAAACATCTTTGAACAATGTAATGAGTTTCGAGTACCCATATATGCAGTTTTCTTAAACTTCAAAAGAGTCTTTGAAAGTCTCAAGTGCAAATTTATCTGGTATGAGTTACGGAAACAATATACAACAATATAATATGCAGGTTCGTACGCAAAACGAACTTTTTTAGACTTTTCGAATTGAAACTGGAGTTCGACAAGGATGTATTCTATCACATATCCTATTTATTATAACTCTAGACAAAATTATGAACAAAGTAAACATGGGAACTACAAAATATATTTGAGCGGGTAAGCAATGCTGAACAAAGTTCAAAACTTGAAATAAATGTAAGCAAGAACAAAGGTATGCATGGTGGTTTTCGCGTGGGACAAGACCCTCATTGCAAGCAAGCCATGAGTAGATAGAATAAGTAATTTCTTTTACGTTTTTGAGAAGTGTATGACAAACAAAAGCAGAGTGGGCGAGGACGAGGACGTTGCAACACACATAAAGAAGGCTCAAGCAATGTTTGGACAATTGCAGAATATATGGAAATCACGGCAATTTTAAATTCAAAAATAAAAGTAGTCCTTTATTATGGCTGTGAAACATGGAAGCATTCAAAATAGGTAGAAAGGAAGATACAAACATCGGATGGGACATACTTTAAGACGACCAAATAAATACATTACTCGACAAGCTTTCACGTGGAACCCAAGACAGCAAACGCCCTGGTGCACCTGCTTTAACTTTTAGAAGAAGAAGGACAATTGAATTCTTGAGGGAAAGATTCAAACTCCTAACGTGTTTTCCTAATCTACAACGAGACATTAACAAGCACACTATAAGAGTGATATATCTTACATGTCAATCAAGTTTCTCGATTTATTCCTATAAAGATGTCATAACAAGTAAGAGGAAATACTTGAAAGTTGATATTCCAAAACTGCGTGGTTATAAACCAGGACTGTCCAAAGCACAGCCCATGGGTCTCATGCGTCGCGCGGCTTATATTTGTGCGACTCGCGAGATGTTTCTAATCTACCACTATAAGGCAAATTTTTCTTTATTATATGTTAGTAACATTACACTATTTTATTTTTATGATATCCTGAATTAAGATGTTTTAAATAATTCATTACACTTTATGTTAATTTACTTAATTTTCAGACTATAGTATATATTTCTTCGTAAAACTGGTTCAAACAACTTGTATCCAGTTCCGTTAGTTATTATATTAAAAATAAATTATTTTTCGTATATACATAATGCTGATATTGATAGAATTATAAAAGATTAATGTAAAGGTTATGAAAAATTAATAAAACTAAATTTAACATTATCACCGTATTTTCATTTTTCTCCAGAAAAATTATGAACGTATGTATTTATTTCATGCGGCCCTCCAACCTATTCAATAATTTGTATTGGCCCGCGTTCTTATCTGATCTGGAGAGCTCTGGTTATGAACTGTATTTAAGTTCAAAGAACTTTTGTAGTCATCGCCAAAATCTTGGTTACTTATAAATAAAAATTATATGTCCTTATATATAACCCTTATAAAACTTATAAATACAATATGAGTTACTGTTACCCGTAAAGTAATCTTTAACCATATATGTGATGCATACGACCAGAGATATCTATCGATGTATATAGTTATAAGTATATATAGAAAACCAACCGGAAGCATTGAATGGAAGGCATCAAATAATTTGTAGTTTTGTAGTATGAAGTAATAATTTAATTTGAAAAGTGTAGATAAGAGAAATAAATAAAAAGTTTGTAGTATTATATATATTTATTTACAATAAACATTTTTCATATTAAAGCGTAACTCATTACTAAATTATGGAAGCAGAACTTTACACACATCTACTCGCTAGTGTCGCTAATGAAAAATTATATCAATTCGAAATTTTTAAATATTTGGAATATCATAGAGCAATCATAGGGCAAAAATCTGATATACAATTATTACACTTACAATCAAAAGACTCTTATGCTGAGCTATGCCTAAGCTTAATCATAAATAAGCACAACTTACCATGTCAATATGTTTCTGTTATTTGGAAATTCCTTGGGATAGGAGCTGACAATTCACAAAATGTCAAAACAAATTTAATGGCAGGATGTAGCTTGTGCAAATTAATTTAACAACAATTTTTGTGTATATATGTTAGAAATATTATTTCTCAAAGTAAATAATATAATTTCTTTTTATTGATTTTAATCGAAGTACTTTTCGTTCACTTTTGTGAGAAAAAAAACTCAATTTGAAAATTATCCCGAAAATATATTGTTTTATGTTGTCAATGATGTTTGTTGGAAATATCCTTGTAACAATTATTCTATTTCAATTCCTTTTAAGGTCACACTTGAACAATTTTATTACCGATTTACTTAATAATTTCATATGTACTTCGTTACAACGTTGCTTATTAAAATGTTTTTTATTCCAAAAATATATTATACACATGTAATTTTCTATGTTCTATTATTACACCAAAAATTTCTTTTACACGATTTAAGTGATGGTATTTGACTTAAACCAATTTACTTTCTTATATATTACAACGATGTCTTTTTTTTACATATTCAGACGCCGTGATTACACTTCTACCATCATTTTTTTTATTTTCTTTCTTATAGAATAAAAACACAGGTAAGAACAAAATGCAATCAAAGAATATTGTATTAGACAGGCAAATTTACTTTTCGATTATATATATTGAAATTCTATCAATGACATATCGTTCATACTGTCAATGACAAAGTCGTTCAATTTAAATTATTTCAAAGATAATTTAGAATATTTAAGTTTAAGAATTTAAAGTTTAAATATTATATACTATTAATAAAAATATAAAAAATTTAGCTTGTAAATTCAAAAAAGAATAACTAATAAAATTTTATTGAAATATCTAATTTATTTAAATTAAAATTAAAGCTTACAACACGATTTAATAGAAAACTATATTTATGTATTATAAATTAAAAATGCATGACATGTGTTAATAAATCTTTTAGTCAGTAATGCGTAAAGGTTATAGTTTTATGTTAGTATTAAAACAACCACCATATATTTAGATAGTTTCGGAATTAATTTTCAGAAAACAATTTCAACATATAGTTTATTTAGTTTAAATGATTATGTGGAGAAAATCAACCTCTCTTATTTTCTTAGTTTGTTTATTCTATATTCCAGAACTTGTTAAATTATTGGAATATAAATCGAAGGGTTTTTTTTGCAGCAAATGAGAAATGAGTGCACATGCAATAAATATTCTTTTCAATAAAATGTTACGTGTGAGTCATTCTGTAAAAGACATCACTAGAGTTTTATGATGTTGCATATTAATATATTATTAACAAAAAAAATTTCTTAAAATTGCACGAATTTAAAAATATTTATACATTAATAAGACAGAACTATAAGATTAGACAAAATCAGTGTTATATATATTAGTAATTATACAATTTCTTCATAAAGAGTTTCGTTTAATATTATCGTTTTCTATTTTACCATGTTTTACTGTTAAATATTAGCTTAATACCGTCAATAAATGAAAATAGTTTTAATTACTATTATGTCCAATATATACATACCAATAAAAAAAGAAAGAAATTATTACTAGTATAAATATTTGTTTTCTTACCCATCAATTGTTATTTGCTCTATTCTCCCATATGGCATGTAACACTATTGTGAACGTTACACTTTTACTTGCAAAAAAAATCATCAAAATATTGCAAATTTATGAGTAACGAATAGAAATTCTTTACTTTATAATATATAACCCTTAACAGTAACAGTAAAATTTAACAGTAAAATTTTATTCGAATATTTCTATTGAATGACGACAAAAAACAATATAAATACATTTTTTTCTCTTCTCTTTTGTTCTGCATATTTGCATTATTTTTTATTATAATTGTGAATAGAATTTAATTTTGGCGCCAATTTTTGTTGCAAAATAAAACGTTTGTTTATTTTTTTACTATCCGTATATATTTAATTTTGCAATATGGATTTTTTTCTACAAAATGAAGTACCTTTTTTTTTAAACGAACAAGTTGTATATTTAGATAAAATAATAATTAATGCACAAAAGTCTTGTTTGATATTAACACGGAATTTGAGGTTTTATGAATATCAACAAAAACAATTAATACAAACAATTGATTTGAGTAGAACTTGTTTATCAAAGATTGAAAATCAAATAAAAACGTATGAAGGACCAAAACAAAAGTATACCTTTACAATACAAAAATCTGAAAATAAATCTGATACAAGTGATAGCGACACTGAGGAAATCGTATGTGAACCACATAAAGATGAGTGCTTTATAACATTTGGAAAATATATTTTCAACAATTTTAATTTATTTAAGGTTTATATTATCATAAAATGTTGGGATAAATTTATTGTATTAGAAAAAAATTTGGATTCAAAGGGATTTCGATTTATTGCTGAATATGAAAACGTCAAATCATACAGTCTAGCGCGCAGCAATGTATTATACCAAGAAGTTGTAAAAATCACATTCACTAATGGCGAAACTATATTAAGTGATTTTCAAGAAACAGTTAAAGATATTGCAGAAAAAAATGACGAGAGTAATACGTTGAAAAATGAATTTAAGGATATTTTAAATTCCATAAATGATAAGCAGCAAGAGCTTCATATTCTTAAAAGACGTACCAATGAGCAATTCGTTGATTTACTCAAAGATAAACGTTTTGGAAGTAATTTTCTAATAATGTTTCACTTAGACGACAAACAAATGATAACTCGTTGTGGGGATGTGTGGTTTCGATTCACTTTGACAGATGAGTGCGTGATTGGTATATCATTATTAAATACTTGCAACACCTCTACTTTAACTATTTTAAAGAACATTAGACCCATTCTCAACACACATGCAAAAAGTAGCTCTATCGAGTTTTATTATTGCTTGTATGAATTAAAACGAAATTTCGATGATATTGAAACACTTGAGGCCTTTTTTCAAAGTGAAGATGATAACGTGGAAGCAAACATTTGGACGCCAAATGAACAACAACAACTTTCACCAGAAACATTTGGTGTGCTGCTAATTAAATTAAATATATCACAACTTATAACTTTGGAAAATGTCGGACTCTTCATTTTATTTGAAATCGAAAAAGACCTACAGTTCTACAATGATCTACCTTCCGACCCACAAGTTTGTGAGCAACAAATGTTCATTACAGATATAAATATAAATGATTTGTTGAGAAAAAGACCAGAATGTGAAATATTATTCAAGTCAAAAACAATGCATCAAGATTTCTTAGCAACTGCCTTTACCAGCTTTGAGACAAAATTACTATTTGACTTTAATGAAAAGAGCGACGTAGACATATTTGAACGTTTGCTTAGTAAAATATTCCAAGTAGAGGTGATTAAAAGAGCAGGAACATCTGAAATACCAATTGAGCAAGACACACAAAATTTTGCCATGGAAGTAGATGAAAAAGATGTATCAGTTGAGATGAGATTTCCACATAAATTATTTTATAATAAAACTCGTCATTCACTATGGTATGGATTATTGATACTAAAAGTAGCTGCAGAATGTGAGAAGGATGAAGAAAATTTAAAAATTCAATGGAAATTTTATTTGCAAAATTCAGAAAAATCATTACTGTTTTTCAAAACTTTATTTAATGAAATAGATTTTACAAATTGTAATATTCAGGCTATAGAAGAAATATCAATTAAACAAAGCGCTGTAAATGTTAAGAATTTTGAGCATGCCATACGAAAGGAACTCAAAGCAGTGAATGATTTCATATCGAACAAAAATGAAACTGAAACCGAAAATTTTGTCGCACACCTTACAAAACTACAACTGGAAACAGATCTCTTGGCACAAGATTTGCAAGCTGTGTAAGATTTTTAAATTTAAACGAGATTATTGACAAACTATGATTGAAGTCTAATAATGCTGAATTAAACTTCTAATTGGAGACATTCCTATTTACAACAGAGTAACTATTTTCGAAGTCTAATAGTGCTAAATATAACTCGGGATTGGATTTATTCAAATTCATAATAACAAAGTTTTCATCATCTAAGTATAATAGTGCTTAATTTTACTTCATATTGAAGGTATTCTAAAAGAGTCTAAAAGAGCTGAATAATACTCAGGAAAAAAGATATTCGCATTCACATAATGTTTATTACATTGTTTAATGCTTATTACATTGTTTAATGCTTATTACATTGTTTAATGCTTATTCCATTGAAATGAAGCCAGTCATATATTAGCTAAGATTTTATTAATTAAATAAAACAGTGATGGAATATATAATAAATTTACTGTAAATTTCATTGTGAACACAATATAAAAACAGAATTCCTTGATATGAATGTTATCACGATTTATTTATTATAAGATGTTATTTTGTTTTCTTTAATAAATACAATTACTAAATGTATTTAATTTCATGTATATACAAGCTGATGGGTTAGTTTAGTAAAATACTTATAATTATTGTTAATATAATTGATTTATATTTCGACTATAAAGTCATCTATAGTCAACTGCACCATTAAGCGAGCATATATATAAAATATTTATTTCTGGCCATACAAATAAGCAATAGTGGTAATTAATTAATAAAAGTAACTTAATTTCCTTACTATTTTACAAATATTAACTTAAACGTCACAACTTTGTAGTTAATTCGCCTATTTATAGAAATATAACTTTTCAATTCTATGTATCTAAATGTTTAATAATTATATTATTTTATATGTACACACTAAACTTAGTCAGTACAATTCTTGCATGCATTAATATATGAAATATAAATAAAATTTATTGTATATAAATATTATATAGAATTTTTTTTTACTTTAATATATGTTTAAACATTAAAACATTTACAATATAAAATTACTTACTACTATATAATTTCCTAATAAGAGTAGATACATTTAAGTGCTGCACCTACGACTTTCTTCACCTTTAATAATACTGTCTAAAACATTTTCCAAATTTTGAGTTGCTGCTGCTAATTCTGTATTATCGCTATATGAATCGTCAACTATTTCCTTTACTTTACTAAGCAGCTGCTTAAAGTTGTTCATTTCTGTGTCTCGTATATCGTCAGTATTTGCGTCAGGTAAAATACTTAATGCTGGATATGCTGTATGTGTAGTTAAAGATGTTCTTCTTTGGTTAAACCATAAACTTAAATCTTTAAGAGAGTAATCCGACTTATTAGCATCTAAGTAACTGCGATTTAGATCTGCACCATTTACTATATATATAGTTAAAAGTTTAAATATTTATTGCAGTATTTGGATTATAAGAATATATCTTACTTGAATGAGTTAGATTGTCAGCATCATCCAATGCAGTTGCTTTATTGACAAAACTGTTAATTGAACGATTTGGTGTACTAGAACTTGGAAATGCGTTCGAAATATCAGCGTTCTATTTAAAAATAGAAATAATGAAATGTTAAATTTTAATACAAATTGACAAATATTGCTTACCGAAAAATTTCTCATTTCATTTATTATATCAACTAAAAATATGTGATGTGCATTTAGAAATTCGGAAATTTCTTCATTTGTCGCTGTTTTAACAGATTTTAATTGTAATTCCAATTTGCTGAAATAAAAGACAATAATAATTTAATAAAGTTCTATAAAATTTATATAATTTTTATCGCTTAAAAAAATACATATAGTTGTATTTTAATATTTTTGAAACTCCTGATGACTATAGAATATAGTCGAAATATTGATATAAATAAATAATTTTTTAAATGCTAAGTTTTTCAAAATTATTAATACAATTTTGGTCATTTAAACAATAAATTATAAAAATCCCTGAAATAATTTTCTAGGTTTGAGACCTATTCGTAAAACCTATTCGTAAATCGTAAAAATGCAAATAAAACTTACATATTTTGTTCGTCTAATTTATTAATCAATGTTTGCAATCTTTCGGATGTGCTAATTGCCACTGTTGTTAAGCCAGCTATGGATGCTGTAAAGATTTAAAATGATTAGTTTTCTAAAATATTTAAATCATTTTCATACATACGCTCTAATTTATTGATTTCATCTAATTTATTTTCATCTTGTACTTTTTGCGGTAACTCCTTTTTTGAATCAGCCAACTTCTCTGCTCCTGGAGCTGATTGTGGCATATTATATGTATGGTGATTCATTGGTAACGTTGCCATTTCAGTGCCCATTTCATTATCATTACAAAAACCTTTACTCTCTTCGTTATTATTTGAAAAAAACATATTACATAATTTTGCAAAAAAATTCGAATATTTTTTTGGTGGTAAGTCCTAAAATAATATAATATGGAGATATTATACGATAGAATCTCATTTTTCAAAGTTTTACAAACCTCACTGAATACCTCGAACATACGATGGCCTATTTCGTGTTTATTAGTTGCGTATCCAGTTGCAAAACATTTTAAACACAAAGACAAATTCTTACATATTTGGCATTTAAATCGGATACCTACAATTTTCTCGGTATGACATGAAGCACAAATATTGTTATGTATTAATTTCTCCGTATCCTCAATACGTTTAATTAAAGCAATTAAATTTGCGTATATAAGAAAACGTGTCTGCGTCTTTGTCCATAAGCAATGAAATTGATATAATGTAAGACCAGCTGAGTTGTGGCACTATAAGTAAATACAATTTAACCGATTTGCCTCTAAAGAAATTTAGGTACACGCACCCTTTCATAACATTGATCCAAAACCTTTTTGATGTTGTGATTTCCATATCCATTACCTTCACCAATATAAGTAAATATTTTTATTAAAATATTAAGTAATGTAGCAAAACTTAATATGGATACGCAATTTGTTTTCTCATCTTTGACCAAATTAAAAAATTCTTCAATGAACTGTTCAGATAAGTGAAATTTACATAATAAAAGCAATGTCATTTTTATTTCCAATAAAGAAACTGAATGCCTTCGTCTCCTAAATATATATTGAAATGCATAACATTAGATTGCATTAATAAAAATTATTAACATTTACTTACGGATCAAATATATCCCAAAAATAATTTGATAGTACAGATGTTGCTGATTCCAAGTTGTACGTAGCAAATTTTGTAAAATGTCCTAATTTTTCACAAGCAAAGTATATATCACGTATGAGTGAGGTCAGTTGAAATGGCGGCACCATTAAACTACTGTGGGCTTCACGTATGCCATGCCTTTCCAAAACTGCTAAAACTAACTTATAAGGTATATTTGCAGCTATGAAAAAAATAAAATTACTAATAATTACTGATAAATTTTTCTCAAATTACACACTGAAAAGCAATTTTTGCAGCGCAACAAATTTGGATGCACAACGATAAACGGTGAATTTATATCTCCCGTAATCCATTTGTAAATGTCTCATTATCGTAGGTAGTTTGGGATCACCAGGTTTTGGTAATACTTTGTTACTTTTATAATCCATTTTGTGTGCCATGTGTGCAGAAAATAACTTCTTTATTCTAAATACTTAATTTAATAACACTTGTATTGATATGGTTTAAAGTGCGTGCCTTTATTTCCCGTTCGTTACTGTCAAATTTGAATTAAATTTTTTTTTCATATGTTGGTTGCACTGATAATGTGGAACTATTGTGCATATTCACAATAGATCAATATTCCTTGTATTTTAAGAGATTAAATAATTTATTTTATTAACTCTCTCGCGTCTGCTATAACTATAATCAGATATAATTGTTATAATATCGGTTAAATTATATATTGTTAAATATTTATCATAATGAACTGCTCTTGGCATCTTATTTTATTTAAACTAATACAAACAATAATGTCATCTAATCGACTTTATTTTTATTAATAGACATTTTGACAATATTTTTTAAAATTCAATCAGTTTTTGCTAATATAAAAGTTATTCTATAAATTTATTAAGATTATATGTAAGGTTAATAAAATTGTGTAGAATTGATTAGGACTTAACGAAACAATAAATTTTCTTTAGGATCTTTTTTTTGTTAAATAGATAATGAATAATATTTAGGAGTAAGTAACTGAATACTTAAAATATTTGTGGACTTAAATGGACTGTGCTTAGTAGCACAACCGTCTTTTGAGATCGGACACAGATTAAAGTTCCAGTGGTGTTTGTTTGGGATATATTAGCAGTAAAACTATGATAAATATGCTACCTTTTATTAGCGACACTTATACATAATAGAAATCAATAATACCGCCCATGCGGTAAATATGGAAAGCAGAAAGTAAAGAAAACTAAAACATCTCTTTTTGTTAGTACTGGATTATCACAATAAAACATTTGGGGGCTGCACAATATGACAACTTTCTATGAATAGCACTTCAAAAATCAGATTAAATTCGTAATATGCTACATTATATCCACGATAAACTTACATAGTCTAACTCAATCTGGTATTGACCAATAGTCAATTGGTCTCTCATAGCCAGCTAGATCAACTTAATATAATCTATTACCAATCTTTATTTACATTTGCATGTACCTACCACATACTAAAAATTTTCTTAATTTATTGATTATCTTTATTTTATAAATATTTATTAGGGTATTTACTTTTTAAAGAACAATCAATTGATGTTAATCAGCACGCTTATAATGAGAAACACTGATTTCTTTCGTTCATGTGGTCAGGATTCTCTAGAGATAAAATATTTATTATTCCATCAATTTAATATTGTATTTATACCTTGTATAAAAATATATAGAGACGAGTTTATAAATTATGTTTAATTTGACCAAAGTCCAAAAAGAAACATAAAAATCAAAACAAATACATAAATTCATATCTAAACGAATGTATTTATTTCTACTTATTAAATATATAATTTAATGTAGAAAAAGCACATGCAAAACTTAAATAATCTTACAAAGTGAAATGAGATAAATCCGACATTTCCTCATATAATTGTAAGGTTTACTACTAGAGAACCTTATATCTGTTTTTGTTAAAGACGTGATGTGCAGAACTAAGTTTTAGCAATTCTTCTTTTATTAGTCGTGTGATCTCACGTTTTGCTTTTTGCACCGCCAATTCACTGCAACTTTCAATTGCTAGATATAGTTTACGTTCTCCTTCTGGCGGATTCTTACCAGTAGGCACATAAGTACCACGTACTGTTAAACCTGCTTCAGAATATTCAGAAATTTGTGCCAAAGCTTCTTTAGATGTAACTTTCCAGCGTGCTTGCTGAGGAAAGTCGTTTATTTCTAATTCTTCTTCATATTTTGTAAATGAGTTGGCTTGATTCGGCATTAATCCTGCAATACCTTCCTCATCATCCTTAGGTTGATAGTTTAACTTATTATTTAATTTAGCAGCTAACTGTTCAACTACAGTTCGTGCCGTTAATATTGGCGGAGCTGTAGTAGTGCCTTTTAGTATTGTTTCCGGTGCAAGATTTTTAGTTGTACTTATTTTCGAAGCAAGACGTTTTGCAAGTTCAAGTTTGTCTGAACCGCCAGCCATTGTTACTATAGGTGCGGCAGTAGCTGTAGTGTTTGCTGTTGTAGAAGCTAATGTTACAACCGGTATAGAAGTATCTTTTACAGTTCTCTTTGCTGCAAATAATTGTTCTATTTGTTGATCTATATCTTGTTCAATATCTTCTTCATCATCAGAATCAGCTAAACCTAAAGCAGCTTTTTGTAGCTTTTTGCTTTCTTTAGCCGCATTTGCTTCTTGTTCATCGAATTTAAAACCTTTTCCACTAAAGCCACCGCCAGTATGAACTTTCTTGCCTTCTGCTTCTTGTGCTTCTTTATATTCTGTCCATAATTTTTGCAAATCTTCTGGTACTTCTGTTTCTGAAAGTTCTAGAGCGCGGATTATATCACCTGCATATCGGGCTTGTTCATTCGTTAAGAAAGTCCATGCCACACCTTTATTTCCAGCACGTCCAGTCCGACCACATCTGTCAATTAAAAAAAAAGTTGTTAAACGAAAAATTTACTTTAAATTGATATTTATGTAAAATGTACCTATGAACGTAATCCTCATAATGATTTGGTACATCATAATTAACCACTAATATGAGGTCTTTAACATCTAACCCTCGTGCAGCTACCGATGTAGCTATCAGTAAACGCACTCTTCCCGATTTAAAGTCTATAATCGTCGAATCTCTATCAAACTGGTCGATACCACCATGTAAACTCATACAGGGATATGATGCTTTCATTAGATCTTTAAGTAATATATCTGCGTTTTCTTGTTTATCAACAAAGACTATTATACTGCCCTCTTCCTGATAATGTCCTAGCAGTTCCAACAATTTAAAGAATTTAGCATCATCTTCAAGAATGGCTACATGCTGCTCAACATCTTTGCAGACAACAGAACGACCGCCCACAATAACTTCTATTGGTCTTTTTAAAATGCGTCGAGCTAAGGCTTCCATTTGACGTGGAAATGTAGCACTAAACATGACAGTTTGTCTATCGGGCCTCACATTATCTATTATACGCATAACTTGCGGTTCAAAACCCATATCG